GGTTTTTGTTTCTATTTTGCCTAACACTTTGGCTTTATAATATCTGCTCCGACAGCTATCGCACTAATTGTCATCATTGGCCTTCTCGCCATCGGCGGCACTGAGGCACAGCGCAAAAAGTCGCGCAAGGGAAAGAAGGACGCCTGTCACCTGCGTGAAATCGAGCACTGCATTGGCAAGGTGCAAGAGCTCGGTAAGCGCAAGGAGCCCAGTGTCCTCATTGCCTCCAATGACGGCATCAACACCATCTGCAAGTAAGTGGAATGACAGTTTGTAGGTATATTAAAATATTATTTTTAAAACACAAAACGCTCTAAACACTACAGAACCATCAAGGAAGACCTCTCCAAGTGCATCAAGTCGTACATCAAGAAGTGCGGCACCCCGCTTCACCGAGAAGTCGCCGATCTGATCATCGATCAGGTGACCAACTCCGTTGCGCGATTCTGCGATGAGAAGAATCCCAACCGAAAGGGTAAGTTGAAGTTGTAAAAAACCACACAAAACAGTTGACCCTAAATCGATCCCCTTCTTCAGAGTTCCTGAAGCACTCGCCGTGCATCCACAAGAAGGTGCTCAGTGGTCAGGAGTACAAGAGCACCTGCAACAACAACTTCCTCGCCACGGTGGACCGCGTGGACCAGCAGTCGGTGGAAGGCGACAAGACGCACGCCACCATCTGCTGCGGCTTCAACCGTTGGGACTCCTGCACCAAGAAGATGGTGACGAAGGAGTGCGGCAAGGCCGCCTACGACGAGTTCTCCGACTTTGTGGGCGAGTCATTCGGCACTCTCACCAAGATGGTCTGCCCCAACAACATGTTCGCCACCCGAACTGACCTGTGCAAGGAGCTGCTGCCGAAGGAGGGCACCGTCGCCAAGGGCCAGATCGGCGACAACGCCCTCACCAAGTACGTCACCAGTCTCTTCTCCTTCCTCTTTGTCTTCAATGAGTAGAGAAAAGATCACTGGTCATTCGCTGGCGACTAGAGCCATGACATGATAACTCGGACGTTCACACACACACCCAATTACACTCAAGACCTACTCTTTCTCTGTCTTCTTCCTCTACTGCTGCTGCTGTTGTTCTGCTGTTGCTGCGCTGCCTCTGCTGTTCGGGCTGTGCATTCTGTGCTGTTTCATCGATCGTTGCGTGCATTGTACATACACCTCATCATACCCTATATTCTCTAATCTGTAGAACCTAAAACCTTTCTAAACTAAATAAAGCGGTATTTACTAGAAACAAAGATTGGTTGTTCACCTTAGACACCGGCCTATTCAGGCGGGCACCACTTACTGCCAATTAGTGCTGCTCAACCTCTGCAAACACACTCACTCACTTCCTCTGGCGGCGGAAACTGCGATTGAAGTGCAGGGACTGCAATGAAGTGAGTCGAGTATAGCAGCCGAAAGGTTTGACTGAGTTTCGAATGGAATGGACACACAAGGGGAAACCTCCAAACGGCGACAAACTGAAGACAGACTCTGTCTAATTGAGTGCAGAAGGCTAATGAATAAAAATCTGGCGAGTGTGTGTTAGGAAAAAAGCTTTTTAGCGTGCAATCAGGTAAAATTACCACAAAAAAGTGTTTAAATACAAAAAACAGAAACAACCATTTTCTGCTCAGGGGTTAGACACAGCAGATAGAGGAAACTCTCACAAAGTCACACATCACAACTCAATGTTTGTACCTAGGTTAGATGAACTTGAAACACTTTTGCTTATCATGAGGAATACGCGTCTTGAAGAGCACTGAGTCGGCACGAAACTGCGTGTACAGCAGAGGCATATAGCCGTAGACGGAGGCAAAGTAGTTCAGGCATCGATGCCTTCTCTGGTAGTGCCGATCGTCCTCGGACAAACTCGATGAACACTCTGGACATCTGCAAATTTAAAAATCAAAAGCAACTCAAAAGTAGCCATAAAGCATTACCTAAATGTCCACCTAGACGTCACTTTGATGGGAGGCAGGCGAGAAACATGCGAGACAAGAAAGTTCATGGCAATATCTTCACAGTTCATGTACTCGTCTACTTTGTTTCGAATGGCGGCCGGCATCCAGTGAGTGTACAGGTACGAGTAATACTGTGAAAAAATGAACAGAAAAAAGCTTGCAAACTTAGCCTCACTAACAAGCAAAAAGGAAGGCCTACCTTGTGGTAGAAGGCTGCACCTGTGAGGATCATTGAGAACTCGCAGGTGTAATTGGAGTTGTACAACCAGGTTGAATGAGCTGCATCCCAGGCGTNTGAGTAATACTGTGAAAAAAATGAACAGAAAAAAGCTTGCAAACTTAGCCTCACTAACAAGCAAAAAGGAAGGCCTACCTTGTGGTAGAAGGCTGCACCTGTGAGGATCATTGAGAACTCGCAGGTGTAATTGGAGTTGTACAACCAGGTTGAATGAGCTGCATCCCAGGCGTGGTAGCGAGCAGGAAAGCCGACAATGCGATCTCGAGCCTCGCGCCACACACGAAATGCGAATATAATCTCATCGTGTCGGAANGGCGGCCGGCATCCAGTGAGTGTACAGGTATGAGTAATACTGTGAAAAAAATGAACAGAAAAAAGCTTGCAAACTTAGCCTCACTAACAAGCAAAAAGGAAGGCCTACCTTGTGGTAGAAGGCTGCACCTGTGAGGATCATTGAGAACTCGCAGGTGTAATTGGAGTTGTACAACCAGGTTGAATGAGCTGCATCCCAGGCGTGGTAGCGAGCAGGAAAGCCGACAATGCGATCTCGAGCCTCGCGCCACACACGAAATGCGAATATAATCTCATCGTGTCGGAAACTGGCATCGTCATCCATCGACAAAACTGCATCGGTTTTAATCTCCTCGAAAGGCAGGAATCGGTTATTCAGCGAATTGTGCTTCGACTTGATCACCAAAATGTCCACACCAATTTCAGGCCACTTGATTCCGGGAGTCGGCGGATTGGGGGAGTTCCAAACGACGATAACTTTGTTTAAATATGGAAGATCCTGGCAATGAAAATGATCGTTAACAAAAATCATCAGAGTTAAATGAACCAAATGTTACCTTGAGCCTCTGCAGTGCACTGAGAAGAATATTTTCTCGTTCATAGGTGAGAATGACAATGGTGAACTGCTCGCTCATAAAGTTGCCGCCCAGTGCCTCGGAAAACTCACGCCCAGAGCCGCCGGCTCCCTCACCAATTGGCCGAGCTCGAAAAGAGGACCCAATAAACTTTGACTCTGAAGGCAATACTGGATCGTAAGGTAGCGAAGGAAATGTGTAAAAGGGCGAATGGTGCAAGTTGTTCCAAGATGAATACTGCTCAGCCAGAGGAATTGTAAAATTTCGTTGATAAACAAGCGAGGAAAATGGTACTTCAAGAGGGCCAACGTTTTCCTCGTCGTCAGAGTATATTTTTGGTCGGTAAAAGGAAGCTGATTGTGTGAGATCACTTTGATTTGAGAGCAAATTTTGGTCAAATTTTGATTGGTTCAAGTAGAACTCGGAATGTTCATTAGCGGCGGGAGGAGAGGGAATTTTAAGTCGATTAAATCGGAAGAGTGCAACAATAGTGTCGACCAATTGCTTGAGATCAGAAAAGTAATTGTGGTAAATGTTCGAGCCGAAGCGTCGCATTTCAATAATATCCGAATCAGTGAATGTCTTCAGAACAACATAAAGTTCGGTGATGTGAGCTGTCGGTATTCGTATCAGAGCTCGGTCCCAGTCGATGGCCTCATTGAATGGCAAGGAAATAAAATCGCCTCCAACTAGAATCGGTATGGCACCTGAAAAAGAGAAAAAATGTTAACCACCTTCATTATTTAAAGAGAAACAGTGCAACGTACCAGTTACAAAAGCGTTCATTATCTTCGAATTGAGTTGATTGTCGTAAATAATGGGATTTATCAAGAATGATTGACTAGAGTGAGATGCGGTGGGCATGATGATGGTGAAGGTGGAGTCTAACAGTATGATCGTCTGGTTCTCACAGAGCTGCTTTGTCTTCTCGTCGCAGTCAAAGTCAAAGAGGAACTCATTGTAAGCTGCTCTACTGTGCTTGGCCACCAACTTCAGCAGAGCGTCCTTGACCACTACCTGGAGATCAGTGTTGGAGTTCTTTGTGCTTGAGTCGTCGTCTGCTTCTTCGTTCACCTGTCCTAAGAAGGAGATAAAGTATTTCCGCCGAGCAGGTGAAAAGACAGGCGAAAACTCGCTGGCTTTAGCAGTCGAAAGAGAGTACATGCTGGGAACGATCAGATCGTATTTGTTGCGGTAGTTATACTCGTTGAACTGAGTTTGCAGCAGCATTGCTTTCATTGGATTCACACCAGTTTGAAGAATATCAAAAGATGAATTGGTGTTCACTATAATATTATTGCGTCCATCGCCTGTAAATAAAATTCAGTTATCACTCATTCAAATGCTAGACAGTTCACTTAAACTTACCTCCCCAGTGAGGCAGTGACAGAAGATAATTTTGAAGTTTATCACGGTCATGAAGTATAGTAAAATTTTGGTAAAGAATCACCATGTACACACAGGCTACATTTGGATCAGATGTGATGTGAACATTTGACTTTAAAACTGAAAACAGTTGGTAGTTGAATGTCGATTCACTAAAACTGGAGAGTTGATGAAGATTGTATACGTAAACGAAGAAAGGCGAAAATAGTGAACAACGAGAATAGTCAAAACAACTGAACATCTGGCAGTGTACATTTCGGGTAAAGTCGTCTTGTAAAAAATTGCTTCTCCGAAGTGATTCTGCAAAGGGATGATCATTAGTTTGATCAACTTATTTTAAAAGAGCAGTTACCATTTGTAAAGATGGCTTTTTGAGCCTGTTTAGGCAAAATATCTAGTGGGGGCTCAACTAAAGAGCCCACTTGGTCTTTGGCCTCTTTTTGCGCCAATGCAGCCTGTTTGATATGTAGCTGCAGCCGTTCCAATTCGGCGGCGCGTTTGATGATTTGTGTTTTAAGCTTCTCGAGTTCATTATTGCGCTCACTTATTTGTTTTATCACAACAGATCGATTGCGTTCGAGTACGCGAAGTTCAGTCAACACTGACACCCGGATGGAAAGTAGTTCCTCGACTCTACTAGTCAGCTCTTCGGCTATTTTTTGTTTGATGTTTTGATTAGAATAAGAATTCAAAAAGCAAATCCAAGAACATACCATCAATCTTGCTAAGATCATATTTGTGTAGCTCCTCATCCGTCGCGTCGCTGTTGCTTGCTGCAGAATCTTTGACTACAAATTCTTGCCGAAGTGACGGTGATGCTGAGTTGCTGCTGTTTGGTCTACTTTCCAGGTAGAACGGGGCAATAAAGTTGAGTAGAACGACCAGAACTATAGCAGCAGTTAGGTAGAGAAAGAGTCGAGGCATTGAGAAGCCAGCTTGACGAGATAAGCTCAGTTCCATAGCTGCTTCATAGCTTCTGGAAGGTGGTGTTGTTGGTGGTGGTGGTCGATGGGAGCGAGAATATGGCACATTATTATTGCTGAGTGCAAAACAAAACACTAATCCAGTGATGGAGGTAGTTCTCGCTCTCCTACTACGTCCATTGGAGCGGAGACTGCTGGAGGTTGGTGCACTACTATCTTCGTCAGTCTATCTGGTCCGAATCCCAGCAGAATCTTCTGTAGAGATTAATCGATAAGGAATCCGCTGCAGAATCGTTCGCGCACGACGCCGTCCACAGAAGACGTGACTTGAAACAAACAAAAAAATAAAAGCCGAGCCGCAGAGAGCAGAGGAGAGCGAAGAGAGAGCGAGTGAGAGAAAAAAATCACGCATACAAACAATGAGTTGCTCAAATTACCGAGTCATATTCTAAGTTCATGTGTCTCTGCGTGTGATTATCCTACCGTCCAAACCTCGCGCCTAAACTAATCCAGCACCTAAAGTCAGCAGCATCTTTCTGTTTTGGTGAGTTTTTGAGTTTTGCCGCGGCGACGACGACGGCGGCGTCGGTGACGTTGAAGAGCGGCGCCGATGTAAGCTTTCTCGGTGCCATTCAACTTTGCGGTAACATGGCGTCAGCTGCACAGTGCTCCGATGTGAAGCCTTCTCGACGATGGCGGTCTTCTTGACGATGAGCACCCACAATCATTGCCTGATGAGGATGGTGGTGGTGGTGGTAGTAGTAGTGCGCTGATGAGCATGAGTGGCGCTTTTTATTTAGCCTCTCTTCACCTTAACTATCTGCCGCACTGTTCTTTGTCTGTTTTGACTGGCTGAAGTGTACGGCAAACCCGATTCACTACTAATCAATTGCTTTGACATTTGTTTTTATTCAATTAGCATTCACCCTCATCTCTGATCACCGACAGAATGGCCCGAGTGCAGCCTACGGGTACCGCCACGTCGCTACGGCCGCAACCAGTAGACTTCGATATGACCTGGACCCAGATCAGCGACACTGCCAGCAAAGTCATCATTCTCGCGCCAGTTCCTAAACCCGAATGGAACGATCGGTTTCATGATGTGTACAAGCTTTG